GCTGGCTTCCTTGGCATGGAAACCCACGGGTATGGGTGTGGCTTGCTACACAAACTTCCCGTGAGGAGCTAGGGGAGGTTTGAAGAGCCTATGCATTTTGTGTATTTTTTTTTCCTATGGTTCAGTTCAGCCAGCTGCAGCTTTCTGCATTAACTAGTGTTTTTTTTATAGGCAAATATTCATAGAAGACAACATAAAACCCCTGTTATATTCAAATGACTCCTGGACATATCAAATCCCGTTAGGATAAATTCATTTTTGGAGCAAATGATACAGCTGACAGCAGCCAGATTATAACAGTGATTGAAATGAGAGTGAAAGGCATCCATAATGCTGTAAAGACAGCCATAGGGTTATAGGGTACATGAGTCTTTTTTCTTTCTTTCTTTCTTTTTTTTAATGCTGATACTGGGTCTTGAACTCAGGGCTTTGTGCTCTTGCTTGCTCACAAAGCTAGTGTTTACCCCTTGAGCTCCACCTCTGGCTTTGAGTCTCGGATTTGTCTCAGATTTCAGCCTCCTGAGTAATTAGGATTACAGCTGGTGTGAGTCAGAAGTACCTAGTCGACAGGGTTAATACGTATAAGCAGAGAACGATCTCCTTTGCTTATGTGGTTTAGATAAATCTGGAGTCCTTGATTAATTTGCTCAGTTTGAATGACAGAGAATACTGAAATGTACTGACAGTCATGGCTGAAGGATTCCCATGTCTAGGAGTCATAGATCTATTCCAAAGTCCTATAGCTACCATGCTGCAACACGCTTGTCCCAGCTCTCTGTCTTTCTCTCATTCACTCAACCTCCAGACCCCAAACCTCCAAAAGCTCAACAAGATTCCAGCCTTATCTGTTGCTTTATCGCCCAGCCTCTCCTTTCCCCTTCTCCACCTCTTTGTAAGAAAGAGGAACAAAGCCCTACACCCCCATGGTTCACTTTCCTATTTCTCCTGTAACCAATGACCACATAACTTAGTTGACTTTAAACAAGCTAAATGCATCACTTGGTGTTTGGAAGGCCAGAAGTCTAAAGTGAGTCAATCGCAAGTAGCTTACACCTGTAAATCCTAGCTAATCAGGAGGCTGAGAGCTGAGGATCACTATTCAAAGCCAGCCTGGGCAAGAAAGTCTGTAAGATTTTTTTTTTTTTTTTTGGGTCCGGTCGTGGGGCCTGAACTCTGGGCCTGGGCGCTGTCCCTCAGCTCTTCAGCTCAAGGCTAGCGCTCTACCACTTGAGCCACAGCGCCACTTCCGGCTTTTTTCTGTTTGCTTATGTGGTGCTGAGGAATCGAACCCAGGGTCTTGAGCATGCAAGGCAAGAGCTCTACCACTGAGCCACCTTCCCAGCCCCAGTCTGTAAGATTTTTAACTCTAATTCACTGCAAAAAAGGCCAGAAGTGGAGCTGTGTCTCAAGTAATAGAGCACCAGCCTTAAGTGAAAAAGCTAAAGGACAGAGGCCAGGTTCTGAGTTCAAGCCCCAGTCCCAACACATTTTTTTAAAAAAAAGTTCAAAATGAGTTTTATGTGGCAACAGCCAAGGTTGCTTGTCTTCTGAAGGCTTTAGGGAAGAATGTTCTAGAAAGCACTTGCATTCCTGCACTCTGTATCTTTCCAATCTTTGCTTCTGTTATTTCTACTTCTTGCTCTCTTCTCCCCAGTGCATGGAGTATGAAAAACCATGGATTATACATTGCCAAGGATCCACTGCACACTCCAGAATAATTTCTCTTTTTTAAAAATTTATTGCGAAAATGTGGTACAGAGGAGTTACAATTACATGGGCAAGATAATGAGTACATTTCTTATCAAGCATTGTTGCCTCCTCTTTGTTTCCCCTTCCCATCCCTTCCAATACTCCCCCCACTTTCCCCCACCCAACCTTCCCCCCACCCCCCACCAAAGTTGTAAAGTTCGTTTTTCGACATAACGACTTGTCCATCTCATTGTTGCAATGGGCCCACCTGTATCCCTAATTAAACGATTTGTTTTTTTTCCCTTCCCCTCCATAAATTATACCAACATCAAATACAGTGAAAGCAGGGCTTATACCATGGGGGAGGGACATACAAAGAAGCATAGAAATCATCTTATAAATATGTTGGAAACAATTGCATGAAAGAAAAAAAATTTGAATACTTATCTTGGGGTTCATTCCCTTAACATTAACTTATCTGACCTTTTCTGCTTGACATATACTAGTTATTGCAATAAGGGAAACCATGGGACCTATGTTTCTTTGGGCCTGCTTACGTCACTTCATATAATTTTTTCCAAGTCTTTCCATTTCCTAACAAATGGGGCAATGTCAAAGACCTATAGCCATCTAATCTTCGATAAGGGAGCTAAAAAATATAGAATGAAAGAAAGACAGCCCTTTCAGTAAATGGTGCTGGCAGAATAATTTCTTATTCAACCATCTTATTTTAATCACATCTGTAAATCCCTTTTGTTTCATGTAAACCTACTGCATTCACTATTCACAGCATTCGGATGTGAGCACAGGGTGTGGGCAGTATTCAATCTCCTAGTCTAGCAGTGATATTCAAAACAAGTTTACAACTGATATGCCACTTAGGGCAGGAATTCAGACTCTTAAAAATCTCTTTCACGGTAACTCTGGAGCAAGGCTTTTATTATTTTGCCTGTGCTTAGTCTTTGCAATGCGTCCTTTAAGCCCCATTACAACCCTACTGCATTTTCTCCTCCCTTTGCAATAATATACCCAGTGTGACATGTGCTGTTCATTCTTAGATTCTAGATTTTACCCTGAATACTTTGCTCAAAAATTGAACCCATAACCACCATGGTTAGTGTCTTCAAGCAGGTGGACTTTTATTTAGGTAGATAAGGAAAACAGACAAAAGCCATACAGGCAATGTCGAGGTTCTATATCCTCAGTCATATCAATCAGTAACTTTATGGAGAACCTTGCCCTATAGGTTGTAGTGATGACAGGGAAGACTTACTGATCATATTGTAAGAGTTCTCATGTAGAACATAAGGTCAAACCTTGACTAGATATTCTAAGACTAAAAATGACTACAACCAACTTTCAGAGCAAATCAAATTCAAATTCCAACCTCTTTTAGCTTCTAAACATCCTAGAATAAAGCCAGGTGCTGGTGCCTTGCATCTATAAACCTAGCTACTTAGGAGGCTAAAATCAAGGTTCAAAGCCAACCATGCAGAGAAGTCTGTGAGATTTATATCTCTAATTAAACAGCAGAAAACCAGAAGTGGGAGTGTGGCTCAAATGGTAGAGTACTAGCCTGGAGCCAGAAGCCAAGTAAGAGCCTAAGTTCAAGCCCCAGAATACACATGAAATTCTAATATAACAAGACATATGAACAAAATACATAAGTAAATAAAATCTGTAGTCAAGAGTTCCAGTTCAGGAGTCTTTGGGGTTATAATATCATTCTCAACTTTCTCAAATGGGTAGTCAATCATAGGAACCAGCAGAAGAGTGCATGGAAAGACTAATTCTGAGCTTTACATCTTATTAACCTGTCCTTAGTCATGAGTGCAGGCAGAAATGTCTTGCTCACAACTCAGAGGAAATAAAACCTAACAGAAATAGCTAACACTATCCTAAGGTAAAAGTAATCATTTATAAGTATTTTTGATATTGGTGTGTAAGATGTGTTTTTTATATTTGGACTTCTCATTTGTGTAATAGATGTAGAAAATAGAAAGGATGACCATTAGAGAGTTTGTATGTTTATTTTAATAAAAGAAGAGTAAGATCTTGATGAGGGAATAACTTTTCTATAAGGTTCCTTAGAATAATTTGTGGCATTTATAAGTCATTCTATTAGGTAAAATGTCAGAAGATAACATTTATATTATTGAGAGATGCTTTGGTGAAGGAAATGAATTCTGGAAGCAAATGCTAATTTTAAACTCTCAAAACTTGCTAAGAACCTAAAATATTCTTGCTAGCTAGGATATTGTCTCTGTTTAAAAATTTCTTAAAAGTTAACCCCTCCTATCTTAAATTTTTAAAATTATCTTTATCTTGAATAGATATTCTATGATAGAAACAGCTACAATCAAGCTTGACAGCAAATAAAATATAAACTTAATTTCTTTTTTTGGGGGGGGGTCTGGTCGTGGGGGATCTCTGGGCCTGGGCACTGTCCCTCAGCTCTTCAGCTCAAGGCTAGCACTCTACCACTTGAGCCACAGCACCACTTCCAGCTTTTTTCTTTTTGCTTATGTGGTGCTGAGGAATTGAACCCAGGGCCTCATGCATTTTGCTAGGCAAGCGCTCTACCACTGAGCCACCTTCCCAGCCCCTATAAACTTAATTTCTATTGTCCTTAAAACATTCTAGAATATCAGTTTATGTGCATAATATATCTTGATCAATGTCACCCCTTCCATCATCCCCCCCTCCATCTCTCCCAATCCCACCCATCTCCTCAATTAATCTGGTTCCATTTTCACACACACACACACACACACACACACACACACACACACACACACACACACCACACACTGACTATGAAGGCTGCATTCTGCTTATCTTTATGAAGGAATACAAATGATCCCCATCAAAAGACAGTCATTACCACAAGAAAAAGTCCTGTATGAAGGCACATAGTGCCATGTTACTCATTACTGCAGTGCCCGTATGACTGTGGAGGGAACAGGTAAGGTGCCAGGGATCAAAGTGTTGCTGTTTATTCCTTTGAAGTCTTAGAACACCAACTATTTACTACATGCACTTCTTGCCTCATGCTGAAAATTGGAATTCACCCATGTGTCTCTTTTTCCTGTCTCAGATGCAGCCCATTTCGTAGACTCCATTAATCCCTGCCCCCACGCAGCAGCACAAGCACACGCACACCTAAGCCAGTGGAAAAGAAAAAAAGAGTTACTCACATTCATCCATTTTACAAACATTTCCAGGCTGCAATGGGAGGGCTTTACCTCTCCTTGAAGGATGAATAAATAGTGACAACCTGTACAGTGAAACAAGGCCCCGCTCTACTGGTACTGAGCAGACTCAACATGGAGAGGACAGTTATCTGTCTCATGGTCATTTTCTTGGGAACAGGGGCCCATAAGCCAAGTTCCCCAAGGCCTGACCGCCTCATGATCAGAATGAATCAACTTATAGACATTGTTGACCAGCTGAAAAACTATGTGAATGACTTGGTAAGACCACATTTGTCACAACAGAATGTGAATCTTATTTTTCAATTCACAGAAAAGGTGACTTTGGGGCTTATAAAAATAACTTGGAACTTTCTTTTGCTCTAGGACTCTGAATTCCTGCCAGCTCCACAAGATGTAAAGGTAAGACTTGTTGACTTGAATTCTCAAAACATATTTGATGTAAATTTGTAAGTCTAAGCAAATGGATATTTAGGAAGACACTTGTAAGTCTAACTTAAGTCTAATGAGATGATTACTAAGGAATACACTTAACTTCAGTGAATTTTGGGGGAGACTTCATTGGTAAGAGATTTACTTCTATTTTGGTCAAATATTTATAGATTTACCAACCAACCAATAAAATGCTAGATTACATTCTTTATAACGTATTTATCTTCAGAGAGTTCTAAGTATACTCTTAAGTAGCATCTGAAGACAGAATAATGAATACAAATAAGATATTTGTGCTATAATCAGTTTTTAAAGAAAGATCTTTTAAGAATCATTGAACAGCATGAAACTTCCCTTGTAATCTTATTTAGCAAGAAAAGATGCATGCATTAAAGGCAGAATTGACTTTGAAATAATAAACAATCACCACCACCACTTTGAATGAATTAATTATAAATACAGAGTAGAGCAACAGGAGTGTAGAAATCAAAGCCCCCTTTTGAGTATCATTGACATCTACCTCGCCTCCGTGAGTCCGGTTGTTTTGGTGCTTCAGTGAAGGTTTTGAAAAGATCATTTTCAATAGCTAATCCCATCTCTGTAGCCATTTAAATCCAAGTCCTAAACTGAGGAGGCTTGGCATAGAGTAGATCTCAGGAGTTGTGCCTGCCGATCTTTTTCCTTCAGTAACTTCTTCATTCTGATCTGGGACCTTGTGAGTAGAAATGCAATTGTTCTGACTGTTACAGACTTTTAATTGCATAATTTAGGATAACTATGAAAGTGCTACCAGTAATTAGGGTGCCACAAAGGGTGAGACTCAGGAAGATAGTTTGCAAAGAAAACAATTATGGTAAATGACTCGATGTCAAAGTTTAGAAAGTGAATGAGTCACAACTATTGCTTTACTCTAAAATTTACTCTCCAGCTCTGAACACAATCACTCATATTTACTAGGTTTTTTCTAATAAGCAGCATCCAAAATGAAAGTAGAACATTTAACTTATTGAAAGGACTTTTCCAATAACTGAGAATATTTCTTAATGTGTTTAGTTATCAAAACATAGATTTTCCAGCATCTCAAGCATGTTGTTTCATGATTATAATTAGGGCTTTCTAGCTACTGCCTGTCTACAGTTTGCAAAGTAAGAAATAAGAAAATACCCCATTTTCTAATGAATGTTGGTCCACTGAATTACTTCTTCATATGCTTTGTCAATGAAAGAATTTTGTTTCACAGTTTAAACTTTCTGATAGCTATTTGATTTTTATCTTTTTCACTGTTACTGCTAGCCACATGAACTGTAAAATGAGTGGAACTCTCTGTGATATTTCCATGCATAGCTAAGCAGTGCTATAGTACTGTAGTGAAGATCTTTTTTTTCTGTAGGTTTTCTTACCATTTTTTATTGTTTATATAAATGTGATATACAGAGGGGCTACACTTATGTAAGGCAGGTAAATAACACATTTCTTTTTGGACAATGTTACCCCTTCCCTTGTTGCTCTCTCCCAGTTTTTCCCTCCTGTCTCCAAATTGTATACCAAATTGTATAGTTCATTTTCCACATAGTGTTTAGTGAGTATCACTGCTGCATTTGTTCACCCTTTGTCCCTGCCTGCCTGCCTGCCTGCCTTCCTTCCTTCCTTCCTTCCTTCCTTCCTTCTTTTCTTTTCTTTTTTGTTGGTTGTGGGGCTTGAACTCTGGGCCTGGGCGCTGTTCCTGAGCTCTTCAGCTTAAGACTAGTGCTCTACCACTTGAGCCACAGCACTACTTCTGGTTTTCTGGTGGCTAGTTGGAGATAAGAGTCTCACAGATGTTCCTGTCCCGGCTGGCTTTGAACTGTGATCTTCAGATCTCAGCCACCTGAGTAGCTAGGACTGCATGCATGAGCCACCTGTGCCCGGCTTGTCTCTCCATTTCTGTGATTCCCCTTTTACCCTCCCTAGGTGTAGCTAAGATCTTTGAGCTACACTGACAGGCAAACTCAAGAAGGAAAAAATAGTAGAGGTTGCATGGCAGAAATGTAAACAAATTACATTTTTTTCATTTAAATTTTCACTTAATTTCATTATCCAACTTTTTTAGGGCTAACATCTAAGGAGGATCTGTAATAAAATTATTTAAAGGTTGGATTTTTATAGGAGCTTTAATTAGTTTCTCTAGGCCTTTCTAATTTTTTCCTCTTCCCCTCCCTCCCTCATTTCCTCCCCCCCCCTCCTCCTCTCTCTTTCTTCTTCTATCTTTCCCCTGGCTTTCCTTCATTTCCTTTCTCTCTTTTCCTTTCTCTCATGCATTCTCACCTCCTTCATTTACCACCACAACAAAACTATTGTTTCTTAGGTGGGGGTGGTGACTGTATCCCATACCAGAGAACATTTGACATTTGACATTGTCTAGAGAAATTTTTTGTTGGCAAATTTGGGGTAGGTGAGAGTACTGGCATCTGGTAGGTAGAGGCCTGGGATGTTACTAAACATTCTAGAATGTCCAGGTCAGGTCTGACAGCAAAGAACTATGTAGTCACTATTTCAGCAATGCTGTACTAGAAAACCCTGATTAAAACCCAGTGTATGCTAGAGGGCAAATAGGGACAAAGGTAATGGAGTCCAGTTAATTAGCTATCATACCGTGAATGGCCATGGCTTCCTTTGTGAAAGAAAAACTTGTGTGTGTGTGTGTGTGTGTGTGTGTGTGTGTGTGTGCATGCACACATGTCGTGTGCCAGTACTGGAGTTTAAACTCAGAGGTAGGGTACTCTACCACTTGATTCACAGCTCCATTTCCTGCTTTTTGACAATTCATTAGTGCTAAGTGTCTCACAGACTTTCCTGCCCAGGCTGACTTTGAATTGTGATCCTCAGATCTCAGCCTTCTGAGTAGCTAGGATTACAGGTGGGAGTCACTGCCACCTGGCTAAAAATAGATTAAATTTTTATTGTTATTATAAGGTTGAAGTACAGAGGGGTTACAGTTTCATAAGTCAGGTAAAGAGTACCTTTCTCCTAGTTTTTCCCTCCCATCTCCACCCACAAATTGTATAGCTCATTTTCAACATAGTGTCTAATGACTTTGTTTTTTTTTTTAAGGAGATGCATATTTCAACTATTCAATGCAAAACAAAGCCACGAGTTTGTTTTCTTTTCTTTTCTTTCTTTCTTTCTTTCTTTCTTTTTTTGGTTGGTCGTGGGGCTTGAACTCTGGGCTTGGGCGCTGTCCCTCAGCTCTTCAGCTCAAGGCAAATGCTCTACCGCTTGAGCCACAGAGCTGCTCCCAGTTTTCTAGTGGTTTATTGGAGATAAGAGTCTCACGGACTTTCTTGCCCGGGCTGGCTTTGAACCGTGATCCTCAGATCTCAGCCTCCTGAGTAGCTAGGATTACAGGCATGAGCCACCGGTGCCCGGCCATGTGTGTGTTTTCAAAAAGCAGCATCTGATGCACTCTCTAGCTAAAGAGTAGTTTTTTTTTCATCCTTGATGTGACTTCCTTACTGCTCCGTCTAGCCTACTAAACTAGCAAAGAGCTCACCTCCTCATATCCTCAGGTGTTCAAAGATGAAGGAGACAAAGGCTTGCTTTTGGCATTCACTGCTACCAAGGCTCTGCAAAGGAAAGTGGTGGTCATGCTCTCAGCACTACACACAGACATGGCCATCCTATCTTGTAAACCTCTGGGGTGGCAGAGCATTGGAAGCTGCTTGAATGAAGACGAATCCTTCTATTCTCTTCCACACATCATCTGGGCAGTTAGTAGGGACAGCTCTTCTGCTTCTATTCCCCTTGGAGGTCACCTCTGATGTCTATCTAACATCAAATCCATCAGTAATGAGTCCTGGCCTGCACTGCCAGGTACAGGTCTGTAGGCCTTGTGGGAAAACAAAACATCCTTGTCTATTAACTAGCACAGGAGGACAGGGAAGGTAGGGAAGATGGCCAGGCCCTCAGGGTGAGTGCCAGCATTCCTGGCATTATTGGCTCAGGGAGTTCATCATTTCTCTGGAACTTAATTTTCTTTCAACATACACATGAAAATGTGAAGTCAGCAAAAGGGGCCTCTGTGAGAAATGCTGGTTTCTCAGACCATCGCGGATGAAGCAGTTATGTGTTTTCAGTTTCAGCTGGAAAATTTACCTCTTTAAATCTGAATATTATTTTTTTTCCAGTAAGTTAAGACGGTTGTGGTCAAAAAGAAGAGAAAAGAAAAAAAATTCAACAAACATGAACATGTGGTTTTCAAGGAAAAAAATGTGCTATAATTAACACTCATAAATAGTTTCTATTAAATAAGCATTTTGGCAAACATGGAAAGGACACCACTTTGCCTTTTTGAACAGCAGGCTGCCCCAAGATAGGGAAATCAGACACGCGGCTCTCAGCTTGTGGTCTGATATGCAAAGCAAATCAGATGGGTTTGTGTCTTAAGGATGCAAGTTATTAATCGGCATTGAGATTAGGTAAGCGCAGGGGTTGGAAAATGCAAAGCAGGCTAGATGCTATTTTCAGCTCACCACCCAGGATGGGACTCAAGTATATTGTTCTATACAGCACTGCCCTTGCTTTTCCTAGGTGGCATTGTGAGTGGCAGTTATCACATAGAAGCTTCAGTGAAATGAAGGTGTGGCAACTTTTGGGGGGCTTGGGAGGGCATTACATGTACACATTTGCTGAAAGTAAAAAGTATCTTGGATAAAAGTAACCTAGATTATTAGTCTAAATTGTGCTTTATATATATGTATACACATGTGTATGAATATATGTATATGTGCACATATGTATATATACATATGTATAAGTATATATCCCTACATATAAACACATATATGTATACAACACACTAAGACAATCTACATATAATATTTCACCAGTACTGGGGTTATTATATATATATTAATGTACTCTCTATATAATATCTTAGCTTTTTCTCACAAAGCTGGCACTCCACCACTTGAACTTCTGGCTTTTGGTGGGTTTATCTGGAGATAAGAGTCTCATGGATCGGGGTACTGGTGGCTCACGCCTGTAATCCTAGCTACTCAGGAGGCTGAGATCTGAGGATCACGGTTCAAAGCCAGCCCGGGAAGTCCATGAGATTCTTATCGCCAATAAACCACTAGAAAACCGGAAGTGGCACTGTAGCTCAAGTGGTAGAGCGCTAGCCTTGAGCTGAAGAGCTGACGGACAGCACTCAGGCCCAGAGTTCAAGCCCCACGACTGACAAAAAGAAAGTCTCATGGACTTTACTGCCTAGGCTGGCTTTGAACCTTGATCCTCAGGCTGCAGCATCCTGAGTAGTTAGGATTACAGGCATGTATCACTAGTGTCTGGTGGTTTTGGCTTATTCTTTAGTCAGTAGTTGGTCAAACAAGGATTGAAGTGTTGGATCCATGTTCTCTCCACTTCTCCATGCCCTGAGACACTATTCTTGCCAACAGGAATGCACTCCCATTTGGTTGGATAAATCTCACATTACATTCTTTGACTGTTTGATTTCTATAGAACCCTACCCTAACCAACCTGAACATATGTATAGGATTTTACAGAAGTCATGCATAGCTCAAAGAAAATGCATTGAATCTTAGAAAATGACATTTTCTAGAGGCAGGTACCCATTTCCTTTCCCCAAATGAGGGAAGTTATCTAATTTATCTCATCTTTTGATTTTGTAAATATGTATTTAGCACTTGCTAATCATATGACAGTATGTTTGGGGCTATATGACTTACGTACATGACAGAACCAGATTCTTTCTTGTAAGTATTAGCTGATATTAGTACTACGGGGGAAGAATTTCATTTTTACGTCTCCAAGTATGTTTATGCTGTAGTACAATCAATCTGAAAAAAATTCTTAGTCTTTGTGTGTGTATCAGTCAGTACGGGGCCTTGAACGCAGGCTCTTGCACTCTTGTTTTTTTCCACTCAGGGTTGGTGTGCTATCATTTAAACTACACCTCCACTTCCTGAAAAAGAGTCTTAATCATGCTACAACATAGCTTACCCAATGGTGCCACCAGCCATAGTACAACTTCATAATCTAGCACATGTGTTCTTTAACCAAATTAAGTCTCTCTTAGAAAGCACAAAAGTCAGGTTGGGAATGTGGCTCAGTACAGTGCTAGGCTAGTAGAGATGAGGCCCTAGGTCTGATCCCCAGTACCAAACAAAAACAACAACAAAAATCTCTATGAAGACCATGCCTCTACTCAAAATCTCAAAATGATACAGACTTAGGAAGAAAAAGGTTGCTTTTTTTCTCCTCTCTGAGGAGCAGGGAAAGGTCCCATTTTCCCTAAGTCAAGGGAAGATTGACTGACATACAGGAACATACATCTTTTATTGTCAAAGATAAACTCATCTGTTGAAGTTTAGGTGATCCAAGACACCATACGTCATTTTCAACCTTCTGAAGAACTTCCATGAACATGGATACTGATGATTTCTCTTTCAGGGACACTGTGAGCAGTCAGCTTTCTCATGTTTTCAGAAGGCCAAACTTAAGGCAGCAGATAAAGGAGAAAATGGGAAGATAATCCAAGGATTCATCAAACAGCTGAAGAGGAAACTACCTCCAACAAAAGCAGGGCAAAGAGAAAAACAAAAACTTGTAAGATTGTCATTTGTCATCTAGCTTATTTGTATTGAACCATTTTGTATCATCTATCTTGTATTTATTTATTATAATGGAATATATTTATCATTGTACACACACACATACACACACATACAGAGTGCCTGGTCTCTTCCTGAACAGTTAGTTATACCTGCCATACTTAATCACACCTAGCACATTTTGAGAAATGGAGTTGCCTCTCTCTATCCACAAACTTGACTTTCAAGTAACTGCTCAGTAACTCAATAAGAATTTGTTAATAGTCCATAGCAGCTAACATACAATAACGCTAGTTCTCAAGGGGAAGAACTCATTAGGAAGAGAATCCAATTATGAGTTAAAAATATTTTCCTGAAGTAAGGCAGGACTCAAGTAGTAGAGCACCCGCAGCTTTGAGCAAAAAGCCAACTGTCTACATGAGTTTAAGCCCCAGTACCAGCACAAAAGCAAAATCCAGGAATATTTTCCTCTCATTATCTATACTTGCATTCTTATTAATAGGAGCTAGATCTTAAGTTTGCTAACAAGAAAAAAGCCTACAAGAGACAACAGCAGAGTCAATATTTGAATTTAAGCATGTAGGCCCCACTACTTGACTGGAAAGTTTGTGTGTGTGTACATATATATAGATATACATATATATGTTGTATATACATATATACATGTGTATTAATATATAATATATTAATATATATTAATATATACATTAGTACCCCAATGTGTGTGTATATACACACTCATATATACATATATATATGTATATATATATATATATATATGGGGTTGAACTCAGGGCCTCATGCTTACTAGACTGGGGTTTGAACTCACAGCCTCATGCTTGCTAGGCATGCACTCTATACATCTTGACTCACACCCTGTAGTACTTCTGGCTCTAGTTATTTTTCATGTAGCTCATGTTCCAAGGGCTCACCTTGGAACATGCAGCTGGGATTACAGTGGGATCAGTGGGATCTACCACAGGTGGCTTATTTGGTGCGATGGGAGGATTCTCAGTGACATTGCCTAGCCTGTCTCTAAGTACCATCCTCCCAATGTCTGCCTAGTGAGTAGCTGAAAGAATATCTCTCACTTAGGAAATGCTTGTGATATGACAAATGCAAAAAAGGAAAGAATAAAGCTGGGTGCTTGTGGCTCACACCTGTAATCCTAACTACTTAGGAGGCTGAGATCTGAGGATCAGGGTTTGCAGCCAATCCAAGCAGGAAAGTCCATGAGACTCTTGTGTCCAATTAACTACTAAAAAAGTTGGCAATGGAGCTGTGGCGCAAGTGGTAGAGTGCTAGCCATGAACAAAAGCAGCTTGGGGACGACGCCCAGCCCCCAAGTTCAAGTCCACGACAGGCACAGATTTTTTTTTTAAAGAAAGAAAAAAATAAGCCAATGGTAGTATCTGCATGAAAACACTGCAGTGATGCCCTGCTGCAGCGTGATCACAAGCAATTTGCAACATTACTTCCAGAATGACTTTAAGTACTTTTCCAAATGTTTTTTCGGTGAATGTGATTTATGTCTTTAGTTGGAAAAGTAAAATTTAAATGAACATTTTATGCACTAGGGATTTTTTTAAAAAAAGAATGTTACCTCTTCATTGATTTCTAGGTATGTCCTTCATGTGATTCTTATGAGAAAAAACCCCTCAAAGAATTCCTCGAAAGACTGAAATCTCTTCTCCAAAAGGTAACTATCTTACGTTATGCTTGCTTTCCTATTTCCTCTATGTCTGCGTTGCTTCTGGGTTGAGTTTTCTCATAGTGTGCTCTTTCTGCAGATGATTCACCAGCGTCTGTCCGGGAGCCCTGGGGCGTGAAGATGGTTGGGGATTTCACTGCAGTTGGACACTATACTACAGACTCTAACATAGCCTGAAACTTACCTCTCCTATTCCAAGCAGAGAAGTCCAATGTATTCATGATGGAAAAAAAAATCACAGAAAAGTATGCAAAGTTAGGATTCTCTCTCCAATTATGATATGATACTTTATGCTGTTTGGTCATTTTGGAAAAACTTTCTAATCAGCTGAAGTCTGAATTCTTGTTATGGACCATTTTTGTATGAGAAGTATATATATTTTTGATTGTATGAGAAGTATATATATTTTTGGGGGGCAGGGTGCAAGTCCTGGGGATTGAATTCAGGGCTTAAGCACCGGTCCCTGAGCTTTGTGTTCAGGTTAGTGTTCTCCCACTTGATCCACATCTCCACTTACTGATTCATCGGCAGTTAGAGTCTCATGGATTTTCCTGCCTGGCCTGGCTTTAAAGTGTGATCTTCAGATCTCAGCCTCTTGAGTAGCTAGGATTACAGGCGTATACCATCGGTGCCATGCTTAAGGCTAAAAAAATTTAAGCAAAAATCCTGTGTGGGAATTTATTGATTTTTATGTTAGCCTTGGTCTTCGATAAGTCTATTAGGATCTTAACTTAAAAGGTGCATACCTTCATTCAAGCTGAAAATATGGAAGCAGCAGATCACAATGAAAAATTGCAATCTTTATTTTTGCAAGAAAATGAAAACGGAGTATTTACAAGCTTTCATCTGAAGAATCTACTTTTTAATCCCAGAATGTCTAACATCCAAATATGTAACTTATTTATGTTCTAGGAGGATAGCTTCCTCAGATTACTAAAAAAAGGTCTTTTCTATTAGGTTTGTCAAAATATTTAAATTCAATATACATGAACTTATTTACAGAATAGACTGTCTTTGTTGGTCATTAAAGTAGTCTAGGAATGTGGATTTAATATTACCTCTGCCCAACCTCATGTCCCTTCATAAGCTAACATGGTAAGCTGGTAAAAATGGTAACTTAAAACCATAGAGGGACATACTAGGGAGTTTCCTAAGCTTAAAATAGAGATTAAAAATAATTGGCTGCCTTCTAAAATTGTTAGGGGCATATTATGAGCATAGCATCTCTTTCTTTCTTTCTTTCCTTCCTTCCTTCCTCTCTTTCTTTTCGTTCCCTTTCCCTTCCCTTCCTTCCCTCCCTCCCTCCCTTCCTCCCTCCCTTCCTTCCTTCCTTCCCTTCTTTCCTTCCTTCCTTCCTTCCTTCCTTCCTTCCTTCCTTCCTTCCTTCCTTCCTTCCTTCCTTCCTCTTTTTTTCTTTCTTGTGCCTGTTCTTGGGCATGAACTCAGGGCCTGACCACTGTCTCTGTGCTTTTGAGCTCAAGGCTAGCACTTTACCACTTGACCCACAATTCCACTTTTGGCTAGTTTTAGTAGTTAATTGTAGATAATAGTCTCATGGACTTTCTTTCCTGGGCCGAATTCCAATCATGATCCTTCCTACTCAGCTGGGATTATAGGGATGAGCCACTAGTGCCTGACTTCCTTCCTTTCTTTCATTTTTTTGTTGGTCATGGGGCTTGAACTTAGGAACTGGGCATTTTGGCTACAGGCTTGTGCTCTACCATTTTAAGCCATAGAGCCACTTCTAGTTTTCTGGTGGTTAATTGGAGGTAAGAGTCTCATGAACTTTCCTGCCTAGGCTGACTTTGAACCATGATCCTCATATCTCAGCTACCTGAGTATCTAGGATTACAGAGCCTGGCCCTTTTCTTTTTCTTAAAACAAAATTACCATGATGAAGACATTCCAAGCCCTGTTTGTATTTTAATTACTTGTTGTGCATGCTGTCCATAAACAAATTTAATCAACTATATAAAAATCAAAGTTAGAAGGCAAATTGAGAGGCCAGGAAGTGTCCTGTCCCAGCTTAGAGCAGATTTTTGCTTAAACACTGCAGTCTTTCAATCATGGCTGGTAAAAACAGTGGTCTGCCACTTCATGTCAATTCCAGATAAGAAACTAAAACTATAGTAAACGTTTTCTCAACTGGTATAAGCTATTTCACTGTTTCTTAGTGTTAAAATGGATCTGAGTGTGTAAGAGGCTAGGGATGGAAAATGTGTTATGCTCTGCAAAGAAGACCTGTCTACTTAAAAGTGGTTCAAAAACAAATTCAGACTTAATTTATAGCTCTAAAAGGTGTAGGGAATGTATATTATTTAATTAAACCTCAATGAATCTCAGGAGCATGGTGTTTTTGTTTAAAAAATCTTAAATGTGTTATTACAATGGAATAATGCTGCCATGTGCCTACTGATGCCAACATGCATGTGATCCTGCCCACATGTCACATGGTGCCGGCCCAGATGCTGAAAATGTTGCAAAGAAGCATGACGGCACAGTGCTTTAGACATCATAAAGACAGAGTCTCTTTATATTTGTTTCTAGCTTTCTACCTGTCAACTTCTTGACATGATGATCTGATAGTTAAGATAATATATTTATGTTGGTGTGTTGGTTAGAAATCTTTTTAATCTTTTGACCAGTCTACTGTCTCTACTTTTCTGAAAAGTAAAAATAATTTATTGGGGACACTGGCTAAAAGCTCAATAGTTAAAACATCCACTAAGGATCCCACCACCACCCAAGAATGCTTTGCATCAACCAGCTGAATGAGACTTGAATAGCTCCCATCCCCACTGCTCTGTTCATGACTTAGCTAGTTCTTAAAAGGGATAGTGTATTTATATATTATCTTGTTGATAGTGATTCCTTGGTGAAACTACTTACAGATAAAATAAAAATTTAAAAGAAAGTGACATGAGGAAACCCATAACTATCACTGTTTACCTGTGGGCGGTGAGATGGGCGATCTGAAATACTGTTGGATGTAAAACTGTGTTCACTAGCTTAAACTTTTGGGGCTTTTATTTTCTTATTTGTACAACAAGGGTGCTGAATATTTTAATCTCTAAAGTCAATTCTGCATTTTTTAGAACCTTGTATGGCTGTGAATCTGTTAACTGCTGGGTACTCTTCTGGGAACATCTGACTACACTTCTGAGTAAAACTTTGTTCTGAGTCTGATGTTCAGTTGCTTAATATTATTTCAGTAGTATTTGTAGCAACACTTACTGAAGGGTAAAGAAAATGTTCTGAGACAGGGGAAGAAATTAAGGAAAGAAAGGAAAAGAAAGATGGAAAGAAGAAAGAAAGGAAGGAAGGAGACAAAGATTGCTGTAAGTAATGGGAGTATGGGAGTTTTTAGATAATTGCTATTTCAACTGAAAGTGTCATTTTTGGGGCACTTGTATAAATTTATAGCATTATTACTCTACGTTATTGTTCTACCACTGTATTTACCTTTGCATCTGAGGATTTAGTTTTAATATAAACCATGTACATTATAATTTAATGATTATTTATTGTATGTTTGGTTTTCCATGTTTATGTTCATGGCATATTTAAGACCTGATCACATTAAAGACTATCTAGTCAGTACATTTGTCTTTTGTGATTCTCTGGCACCCTGGTCTAATAATCCTGGCAGAAAATTAAAGATTTTTTTTTTTCTTTTTGTGCTGGTCCTGGGGCTTGGACTTGCGCACTGTCCCTAAGCCTCTTTCGTTGAAGGCTGTGTCGCTGTACCACTCGAGCCACAGCTCCACTTCAGGCTTCTTTGGTGGTTAATTGGCGATAAGAGTATCAAGAACTTTTCTGCCTGATCTGGCTTTGAATTGCAATCCTCAGACTTCAGCCTCTGAGGAGCTGGGATTACAGGCATGAGCCACCAGCATCTGGCTAAAGATAATTTTTAAGTTCCTTGGAGCATCTAGTTTTTGCAGGTCTGTGGCAAAGATCATCTTCTCTCATTGCCTGCTGCCCCTAAAATAGACCTGTCCATGCTCTGTGCCAGCCACAGCCCAGCACTTCCTTTGCAGCCCTCCCACAGTGCACAGCTGGAAGGAGCCGCAGGTATTCTCCCCCAGGCCCGCTGCCATCACTGCACACCCACTCCTGTGCAGCAACTCCTTCCTGCATGCAAGTGCTTCCCAGCCAGCTCCTCTGCCCTCTTACTATGACAGAGTCTCACCTACTGGGCAGGAATCTATGTGTACTGGGGACTTAGGTTTGTTCGCTGTCATCATCCAAGGTGACTTCAGTACCCAAGCGTGGATTCACACATGCCAGTCTCTTAGTGCCAGTACTGGGACTTGAACTCAGGGCCTCACACTCTTACTTGGCTTTTTTACTCAAGGCTGGTACTCTACCGCTCGAGCCACAACTCCACTTCTGGATTTTTGCTGATTAATTGGAAACAAGGATGTCACAGACTTTTCTGTCCAGCCTGGCTCTGAACCTCAATCCTTAGATTTCAACCTCCCTAGCAGCTGGGATTACAGGTGTGATCTTTCCTGCCTAACTTCTGTCTGCCTCTTAAGGACCTTGACCTGTTCAGCACCTGCATTTTACCTCTCCCACAACTTTTGTTCCACATGACTTTGAATCTATTCATGGTTCGTCCCAGCCACATCAACCTTGACCTTTATACTACCAATGCCCCCATTCTATTTCCAGAAGCTTCTCGGTGTGCATTCTCCTAGGAGTGTATCTTTAAAAGCAAATGATGTGCTGCCACCTGCTGAAGCAATGCACATAGGGACACGTATGTTTCATAAAAGACCTAGCAAAAACACATGATAACATCTTAAGGCTTCTTGCCTCTTTCAGTCCTGAGACTAAAAACAACAATAACAAAAACCAGATTTTCACTATTTATACCCGTTTTAAAAGCAACTTGAGGGCCAGGAAAACCATTTCCTCCTGGATCTTCAGAATTCAGTGTGAAGAAGAATGGAATATTTGGACCTGCTCAGGAGCATATTAGCTGCAAGATTCCTTACACATGATCCTCTGAGAAAGACTTCAGAGGTCCTCAAACAGGAGGAATGTCTGGCCACTCTCTCTTGGTAAAGGGAATTTAATCCAGTTAGGTTTTCTCCAGAGGTCCTTGAACCCAGTAGTACTTACTTATTTAGCTTGAACTCAGCGCCTGCACACTGTGTCTGAGCTTTTTTGCTCAAGGCTAGCGCTCTAAC